TACCCTTGAAGGTAGGCGGATTCTCACGCTGAAACGTTGCCAAACTGCGAGATCCAGCATCTCCAGTAGGATTCGGCTGATGTTCCATTGCATTAGCCAACGCTTGCAAGGCAGCAGCAATCGCAGCATCGTTCCTTCCAGCCATTCCAACTTAAGCTGTAACAACCAACAGTCAGATTTCATGAATAACGACACTAGGCTACTAGACATGACGACTGACTCGATAACTTGGTCGAGTGAAACGACCTGCTCTGATACCACTAATGTAACACCCCATTTCTACCCAAGGCATATTTAAAATAAATCAAAATCAGAGTGCACGAAATTTGTACGCATGACGGTCGTCATGGACTTGTGACGGTCGTCACACAGACAAAAACCTGGGCGTCACATTTTTCAGCTAGCAGAAGCATGCATTTTACCATTTAATTTAACTAGGCAACATGCATTTAGTGATGATACATAGCACATACTCTTGGATGAACAACTAATAACAACTCACATACATCTTAGTTACATAGCAACATATTCATTTGCAGCGGAACATAATGCACTTTCAACATTTATGAAAATCAACGTGATACCAGAAATTACGACCAAAACTCCATTACAATTCAGCAAGTACTTCAGCTTGCATATATTCATTAAAACAACTAGTTTTCCATCAAAATTCGGCACTACCGATTCTTCGGCTTAGTGCGTACAACCAGCATTCGGTGCATTAACAAAAAACAACCAATTCAACTAAAATACTTAGTCAAATTTTAGCAACAAGAAAACATCAAATAAACAACATAAACAATCGTTCATCCCCCCAAGAGTGCTATGTATCAGAGCGACCAACGACACCTTAACGGGAACTACGCTCTATTCTTGACTACCTGCAAATTACCACCAGAGGAGGTAACATACAACGGAAAAGGGTGAGATATCAATAATATAACATAAAGCATGATAGAAATCATATTGGAAATCGTATCACAACAATATAATCTTCGCAAACTTATAAATATCAGAAACAATCATCTACAAGCAAAACCATATCTCACGTATGCCACAACAATCTACAACCAACATAATCATGCAACTTTATGCGACTCAACTATGCATATGCATGTGGTACCATTTCGGAGCAAAACTCCGCAACCAAAAATTTGCCACTAAGGGCCAACCGTCGCCAATCCAGGCCAATTTGCCACTAAGGGCCAACCGTCGCCAATCCAGGCCAATTAACGCCAATACAGGCACAACCAAAAATTTGCCACTAAGGGCCAACCGTCGCCAATCCAGGCCAAATGATATGCCATGCAATGCACCTATTACAGACTACAACACAACCAGAACAGCCATACAATGAAGCTTTATGCTTACAACCAAAACGTCCATAACAGAGCATCACAACATCATACAACTCATGTGATCATCATATTCCGCTTATTCACATACGGGGACAACAATGATATCATATATACTTCTACCTGTTCGTATACAGGAACAACAACAATTCCCATTTCTATATGTTCATATACAGGAACAACAACAATTTTAATATCAACAATTAAGAACTTCGTATATTATTGTAATAACAACATTACGGCATTTATTCACATAATTAGTTACCAATCAGTCACAACTAGGTGACTGCTCTTTTTGGACCAGTACCTAAAGCTGGCGCCTTAGACCAACTCAGCCATCTTGACGCCCATTAGGGAAAAACCATTAGAGCGTTGTACGAATAACCATATAACATATTCGTTCTACGCATTTGCCCATAAGGAAAACCTTAGGGCATCGCACTAATAACCACATAACACATTCATTCCTACATAGAAATCTGGTCCCATTAGGGAAACCATTTCCTTAACATTTATCGATTAACGAAAACTATACCTATGACTCGATCCCCACATGAATTCGATCATACTCCCAGTTATAGAATTGAACCCCACCCTTACCTTAGAATTGAGGCCAATTCCACGCTTTCCGATTCCGCTTCTGCTCTACGGTGATTTTTCTGCAAAAATCTTCCGAATTCGCCGATCGACAATTCTTCTCTCTTACTTTCTCTCCCCTACGTAACTCCTCTTTTTAGTCTTTTATTTCCCAAAATGATGTAAAATGAGGGTAAAAGAGTCCATGGGAATATATTTTTACTAAAAAATCTCATTCCACCAGAACACGTTCAAATTCTGCATAACTGCAGTTTTTGCTCGTGTGACGGTCGTCACACTCCTGTGACGGTCGTCATATCATAAAATTTTTATTTATTTTTTTTCAGATAGAACATCTCTTTAGCTTTCCAACGCTTCGAACAGGGATCAAATCCGACTTACGGATCAAGAGATATGAATTTTTGAAGTTTTCCGACAAACCAGAATTTTTCCGACAATTCGACTTATTCAATTCCTTTCATCGATCCAATCACATACTCAACTACGACTACGACACAACGAGATACGACAAAAGTCACAGTTAAATTTAATCTAAATAAAACGGGGCGTTACAGTGTCAGCAATAGCAGATGGGACCAGATCAGCAACATCGGCATTTGGTTGAATCACCTTATCTACAATAACGGCAAATGGCTGGACCACCTCATCTGCAACAGTGGCATCTGGCTGGACCACCTCATTAGCAACCTCAGTAGCAATGTGTCGCATTTGTCTCGATCGTTGGGTCATGAACATCTTAAGCATGACCTAGGCATCATTTATGGGTTGCTCAACACTGATATAAGAGTTTGGCGTCGGATGCTATGGAGTACGCAGAACTGCTCTGCTCAGACAATGTTTCTGGTGTGAACCGTTTGAAACCACTCATCCAGCATGTATCTGGGAACTCTCAGCCTCAGCAGCTCTAGCCTAGTTTACCGCTTCATTTGTCACTCTACCTACAATAGTGTCGTCTCTGCCCATATAATTCACGACAAAAAAAAGGATTAGTAACTACCGAAAATTTCATTAAATTTAAAATTTTCCTAATTTTTCTGGAAATTATGAAATTTTCGGGGAAAAAACAAAGTTTATATAACTACATAAAATTTTGAAATTTTTGGGAATTTATGAACAAACGAGCAACTATCATAAAAAAAAAAAAAAAAAAAAAAAGCAATACCTTTCTTATTTTTTATTCTTCCTAGGCTAAGGGCAGAGACCTTTTTTATTTGATAATAGCAAGTCTAGTCCAGGTTTAGGAGCACAACCCCGGTAGCAAAGGAAGAAAGAAAAAATGCGGCAGCTTTAGCTGCTTGTAGAACATTGTCTGAAGAACTCCCTGAAATAAGGTTTCCAGCTCCTAGGATCGACCATTGCATTCAAATAAGGGAGCTCTCAAGCTCAATATTTTCTTTATGATACCAGCACACAAAGATCTTTCTTATGAACAGGAGGCAAGATTTCTGCAGCTCTGAACTTTGACCACGAAACAGAGAACAAGGATGAAATGAAGCTTTCAAGTCATTTGTATCGTAAATTGTGAAATTTTTGGGTAAAATATTTTCATAATTATTGAAAATTTTGAAATTTACACTATGAGATCAAGCAAATTTCGTTATTTACGGTTAAAAAACATACTGTTTTTGAAATTTCTAATAAATCAATTAAAATTTCTTATATTAGAGAATTCTAAATTCACGCGTGAGAGAAGAATTTTTAAAAAAATGAGTGAAAAATATTAGTATTGTTTATTCATAGAATATGACTGGTGTCAGGTAAAAGTGTGAGAGTGGCAGGTCAAACTCTCAAGTTAAATGCTCCCCACCATGCTACAATTTTTCCCAAGGGTGAAAAGGGGGGAAAGAGAAATAGGTGCATGGTTAATTATTAACATGTTTATTTCAAAATCTAACTAAATTAATTTTTATATAATTAGACTTTGTTAAGGGAAGGCAAAGAAAGAATCAAATGAAGTGTGTTTAAGATGAGGAAGACATATTTTTAATTCAAAAAAATGATATGGATATACAGAAAGACATATTTCTACAATTTAATTAATAAAAAATATAATAACTCACAAGACTCTAATAGATTCGACATTAAAGAATATCAAAACTATAATTAATACCTTAGTAGAGTAAATATAACAAAATATTGTATTAGACTAAATGATTAACGGTAAAAAAACACGAGAATAAAGTATATATAACAAAGATGAGAATGTTATATTGAATATATGGTAAAACTAGTCAGACTAATACTAAAAAGGTCAATATTAGAGTGTTTGGATAACACTTATGAATAAGCAATGGTGAAAAATAAACTTAGATGATTTGAACATCATTTGAACATTTTGTTGTAAAGAGAGTAAATCAGATAGGGAGAAGTCAAAACAACTAGAATGAGAAAAAAAACCTAAAAAACTAAAAAATAAAAATAAAAACTATTAAGTTATGATTAACAAATTGGATAAAAAAAAGCTGTATTTTATAGAACATTATAATCAATGTAACCGACCTCGCTCACTTGAATAAGGGTTGTTAGTTGTCAAAAGGACTCAGTCAAAGAAAATGGATAAAAATTGGTGCCTAACTTGAACACAATTGTTGTGGAAATTCAAAGACACATACCACCAAAAAATGAGTTAACTTTCATATTCATAACGTTCAGCACAAAAATAAACCATGGCCAGAAAAACCAAAATCAAGCATAAAGATAAGTTATAGGCACATTATTGCCTTACAAAATATAATTACAAGGAAAATGAAATTTCGGCTGCCCCAAATCCAATGCTATATAGAATATGGTATATTCTATTGTACAATCAACAGCTTCTATAAATTATGCTAATCTTGGTCAATGTCGGGTGTTCTAGGAAGCTCATGTACACTCTCAACTGAACTATAACTAAATCTATTTCTTCCATAAACACATCAGCAGGCTTTACATTTAATTTACAAAAGTCACAGCGGATCTAGTATGATACAGTCTACTCAGTCTAGCTGTTTTTCCTCTCAAACCAATGAGTAAAAGAATAATGTCACCTTCATTGTATATAAATTAAAGTCAAGATTTCTCTGTCTTCTTATGGAGCTCTTTATCAGCAAAGTGAAGAAGTCGCCTTAGTCTTAGAACCATGTCACAATGGAATGGAAGTGCCGTTCTTCGTTCTAGGTATGCGGGGCTGACTGTCATCCATGACAAGGCATGAAGCTCTGCTGCAAGGGATTCCAGAATCAAGTGTGTCTCAGTTTCAAAATCTTTAGCTTCCCAGCTCAAACCTCTACCACCCTGCTTGTTAATTCCTCGAACAAACTTCTCTTGGGTGATGTTAGAGCATCCATAATAATCGATTAGGCTAACTGAAAGTACTGAAGGCCATTCTTCTTTCAGGTTGCTTCGATAGTCCTTCCTCATGGAAGCAACTGCTTTTGAAACCACAAATCCTGTGGAGAACGGAAGTGCAGAACCCTTGCTGTGAAGCAAATGAGCTAGAGGCGGAGACTCAGCAGTGAGGCATGTGGGTAGTTGAAGAGCTGTTGGAGGAAGGAACCGCATGCTGGGAGAAGGAATTATAACATATGCAGACGATGCAGAACCAAGAGACTTCACTGGAGTGAACCCTTCTACATTACCTACAAAAGACATCACCACAAACACTTTCAGCTCCTTCCAAGAAGTTTTTTACTAGTAATACTGGAAAGATTTACTTCATAAAGAATATTCAAGTATGATTTACCAACACAAATTCTAAAATTTGTATTTTGGTTATTTCAGAAATGCCAAATTCTATTATCTTTTGCTATTAAATGTACAATTTAAAATAAATAAAAAAATCCAGAAACCTTAAGTTCAGAACAATGAAGTCTATCATTATCATTAGCATAAAGCAGTTCCATAACTTCAGGCCCTGAGGGATGCTTTTCTAAATTTTCTTAATCAGACAGTAAAATATACGTCAAAACTGGATTTTGGTATCTCGGTGCGATATGATGTCAGTGTCTGACCCCCAATAAGCTAGTTTGATCTCAACTAGTTAGTCAGCGTAGTCATTCAGTCCCAATTAGTTTGGCCAATAGAGTGAGGTAGTTAGATATGATGAAATGATAAAAAGGTCTGAGAAGGGAGTTGAGTAAGGGACTGGGGCCTTTGAACAAGGGTGGCCCCCTCAAAGTTCTGAGAGTCCTTCTATAATTTGGAGAGATTATCTTATATTTGTAAAATACAATATTGAATTTATCAAATGTGCCAGCTCCAATTTCAGGGTTTGGGGCATTATCACGTCTTTAAGATGATTCCATTGTTAAGGAGGAAGCTTAGTGGCGACTAAATAATATGAAGTGTTAATTTAAGGGTGAAACATTTTTGCAGGGGTATTGTTAGTATCAGATGCAGAATTTGATGGCGAAGTCTGCAATTGTTCCCGGGTATAAGAAACTGTGAACTTAGAAATGTCTAGATACCTCCCTTGCTGAGATTCCAACATCGGTCCCAGTTATTTGTAAAATACTCTAGATGTTCACTCTTGGGCATGAGGTGTGTTGAGCTCTACATTAACTAGAGATATGACAAAAGAGTCCCTAAGATATGGACAATCCTCACCTCTTGAACTTGATTTTAGGTTTCATTAGATGTAGTTCAAAACTATATAAATTTTCAATTTTCAACTTGGGAATGTAATTGAATGAAATGAGAGAGAAAAAAACTATTGTGGTAAAGATCACTTACCAGGAGATGATGAATCGGCTGGGAGAACTGGTTGTAGCGTATGGTCCATAGAAATTGCAACAAAACTAATGCTTTGTGCCCAATGGAGCAAACCCCTTGAATTTTCAACCATAGAATGTCCACCCATTACCTGCTTCCTTGAAGCAGATTGCCCTAAATTGCCTTTTATAAAACCAGTTGGTTTCGGATGAGGGCTGTACAATGGACTAGGGGAGGAAGGAAGAGTTCTTTCTGGGATCAAACTCATATCTGGTTGTTGCATAGAAGAACCATTACTATTTGAGGACATCCCATCAGACAGAGACTTACGGAGTTGCAGGGGCCATCTTTTCATCTCAGATCCACCAGCTGAATAAATGGCTTTCTGCCACTCTGTTTGAATAAAATATCAGTTACATTAGCATCTATTGATTATTATATCAAAAATAAGAAAAATACAAATTTACAACTGATTGCAAATATATACGAATAACTTGAAGATTGGAACAGAATAACCATGATCTAAAAGCAGATATATAAATACGAGTGGATAACTACCATCATTACCAATACAAAGCAATAGGGCACAATTTGATAGACTAAACAGTTTATGGTCCAAACTTATGTATAAAAAATTAAACTATATAAAATTCAAAATCCTGTTAAAAACCACGGATTAAAAAAACAATGTGTAATAATATAAAACATCAGAGATGGTGTATTTTATATTTTATTCTAGTTTACCCAATTTCAAGATTCAATCACTTATTTTCACATAACACACTATAATGAAACAAACATTAGATAATCAAAAGTGAGTCCACTCTAATCGAGAATCAATATTTTGAATGTAATAAAGTAAAATAAATGAAGTGAGCTAACTTTCATTATTGCAATTGAGTTGCTCATTTGATTGGACATATTGTGGTACACAATTCATAAATGCACACCGCAGCTAAATCTAAAGATTCTACACATAGAAGGACAGAGCACCAATAAAAACTGATGTAAGATTGTTACTTTAAACTGAAAGGAGAGCCCATGCTCTTGCAAGGGAAAACTAGAGTCTCGGCTTCTCAAAGAAAGAATTTATGTCTAAAAACAACCCAATGACTAACTGTTAGGCTATAAATATTTGATAATGGGGTAGTTAGAAGTGATGTAGTAAGTTATGAAATTGTTAAGTTAGAGTTCTTATTTTGGTTATTCTAATGAAGTCATTATATAGCCCCTCAATTGGTAGAAGGGAGAGATGACTTTAAATAATTAAAGTGTGATTAGAGAAAGCTCTAGTGAAAGGAGAGTGTTCCTTTGGGGTAGCCTTGAGTGCAAAATTATCATCTTCATTGCATACTATTGTATCTTCTTTCAATCCTAGTATCAAATTCAATTGATAGTATCAAAAAGATATTTAAGGAATTCTTTTCTCAATTTTGTTGATCAACCTTTATTCTAGTTAGAATCACTCTTGTTTATTCAATTCTGCCCAGTTTTGGAAATTTTTTCCATATACCAAAAGGCTCCTAACACTAACATCCTCTCCAACTACTAATCACCTCCCTATAACCTAGGGAGCTTGGTCTAACTGGCATGCCAAGCTTGGTCCAGCAAGGTAAGGTTTGGTTGGTCAATTTGCAGCATAGATGTGGCACAATATGCACTCAAGCCTACAACATTGTGTGACTACAACCCATTCACTTGAGTTTGGTAGAAGTGATTTTTAATTAACTTCCAAAAAAAGTCAATGACTTTAAGTCATCTATAAAAACGCCTACCATGTTTCAAACCTGTGTATGTATAATGTACCTCAAAAACACAGCAGATATGCAGAGACAGAAATCTTACCTAGGTACTCAAGCTCATAGAAGCCTCCAATGCGTGCTATCACAAAATCCCGAGGCTTTGCAAGACCAGGCTCACAAGATTGAAGTATCAGACAACCTTGTTGAAGAACTTGACCAAAAAGGCACTGTAGACCTTTTGTATCCTGCCTACTGCTTATTCCACCAAAGGGAAATATATTAGTGTCGAGCAATTCCCCCCTTGAATCTGTCCAGATGCATACAAGCCAACGCCAGTCCTCCGTCCATCCATAGCAACAATGTAAGCTTGGATGAGTCTTTTGATCAGACCCAGATCCATCAATGCTTGAAGCAGAATCCACACTCCCAGATGTACTTGTACTCTGCACATGGTTACCACTACTGTCATCTGCCAATGCCTTGGAAGTTTCTGAACCGGGGCTACCAATAACTGAAATACCATGTTCTGGAGAACCTGGTTCAGCAAGAATAAATAGGGGTTCAAACATGTAGCGAATTTCATCATGAGGAAAGATATCTCCAGTTCTACTTGGATCACAGTTCAGAACCCCAGACCTTGTCGGTTGCCAAGAATTATCCCAATTGCCAGGTCTCAAGCTGGTATCAATGTCACCCTCTCTTGGAATAGAATGTCCTGCCATTCGAGGACCAACACAGTCTTTCCACATCCCAGAGATGGGAGAAGGCATTTGGGGCAAAACAGACTGAGATCTACTAGAAAATGCCAATTGAGATAAATCACTAGAGATGCCACGTGAAACACGACGAGCCTTGCTGTACACAGTAAAGGCAGTCTCTTTTAAAATAACAAGCTCACTCACTGATGGACTTGTGACTCTGAAAATGGCATCGACTGTAACTATCTGCAAGACCAATTTAGGAATACTAAACCCAGAAAGCACAGGGATATTAGATCCTGAAGCTTCATCAACGGTTGCCAAACCACTCAATGCCTTTACAACCTGACTGTGCAAGCTAGATCTTCTCTCTCTGTCTGACTGTTGGATAACTGATCCAATGGCCACAGATGATTCAATAACAGTTTGTAAAATTGCAGATGGATCAGGAAACGGGCACACCACATAGATTACCTAAATGTAAGGAAATTTAAAAAAAAGGATGAGATCAAAAACTTCTAAGCATGTAGACTTGCCAAAAAATATGCTGAGAAATATACAATTTTCTTTTTTTCTTATATGAACAGAACCATGATTATCATGATGTTATTTCATTAGCAGTTAAAAATACATTATAGCCAATAATCTACAGTATCAAACCAATAGACAGGTCACTTACCAAACAGGAATTGTTACTTCCTTCAGTGGAGTTCGCAGAAAGACAAGAGTTGAGGTTTAAAGCTCTCAGCGCCTTTGAAAGAGACTTGAGATAACTAGTCAGGTCCCAACCATTAGATAAAGATAAAAAATAATCACTTACTGAACCAACAAGAGATGCATTGCTGCTCTCAATCTTCATTGATTGTGGACAATCAAGTAGAACAAAACCACAAGATGACGACTTCGCGGGCTCAATCTCCATCTGATTCCCCAAGACCAGAGGTGAATGAGTACCTAACTTGCACATCTCATAGACTAAAAAAAGAGAGAAAATAAAAAGTAAGACTGATAGAACAACTCAATGCAAAAAAGCAGTGTGAAGGAACAAAAATAGATGGAACTTAAATCATCAATAGTAGAGAATAAAATTCTGGAAGCATACTTCTGGCATAGCATACAACAATTGTTATTGTTAATTGGTGTGACACACAGGAAAGTCCAGCAACATAAACAGCTCTAAGAACTTCAAATAGAAACTATCCCCATTAAAGAAATATTTTTTTCTTTTCAAAAATAAAAGATCCTACTATAGTTTCTCCATATTTTCCGATCCTTTTCATTGTCTAATATACCTGCATTTTAAATAGTTGGATATGCATACAAAATTTACTATAGCCAGATCGTAAGGATAAAAGATTTCTAATATGCAACCTCAAAAATGTCATCAAACAGACCTTATAGATCAATTGAAGCATAATTACCACTACTCACCTGTTCCTAGTTGTTGAAAAAAATCAGCAGCAGCAGAAGTAAGGGGATCAATGTCGGGACATACAACGTGATACGTAATCTGTAACCAACAATGCATACAATTACATAAATGAAAGAAAGTTGTTAAACTCGTTCTCAAGCAACATCATCAACTGGTAATTATAAGCATACAGGTTTCTGCAGAGCATAAGGTTCAAGAGGAGCCTTTTCCCAGTGCTGCAGACAGTTTGCTGATGCCTTGAGCCAATCATCCTGATACCTATTACAGAGGCAACACTAACCTAAATCATTAAATGCACTAAAATACTACCAAAAGCCTTGTGTCCTGGATAATTATATAGTCAAACATGCTTGGCTTCAAACATAAAAAATGACTGCAAGTGCACATACCCTACGAGTATAGAAGGAAATGGAACAGCAATGAGGGTGGGTTTTAGCCGGGAGCACAGGTGCTGCTCTGTCTCTGAATTGCACATATCTTGACCAGATCTCCTTTGGGAAGTCTCATCCACCTTGGCACTATCCATCATGCTGGAAACTGCAGTAACATTCAAATTTTATTAGTAGTCCGAAAACAAGGCTTCCATCACTAATGTAAAAGCAAACTTATACCTTTAAAACTGGATGATCCACAAACAGATGATTGGGATGGGCTCAATGGTTCCGAAGAATCCCTACATTCACTAATGCTAGATTCAGCAGAAACCCCATCAACTACGCTTCCAGTATCAACTAAATGGTTGCGTCCTTTGCACCAATCAGTCACAGATAGTGGCCCTTCCAAATTAGAAAATGCCGACTTTAAAGCTGTTTTTATGTCAGATTGCAACAAACTGATCACAGTAGATGCATGAACCTGAAATTTCAGAATACTGACAAGCTAAGTATAAAATGAAACATACAGCCTTTTTTATCATTAGTTATTCAGTACTATAACCAGAGACCAAATCCTAAAACCCTGTCCTTGAGGAAAGAGACATCAATGGTTTGTGATTTTATAAATCAACATGGATTAGTAAATGGAACATTTTAGAAAAGTACATGCAATAAAGACTTACATCAGAAGAAAGTGGATCCACTAATTCCAAACCAGCTATATCCAGCGAATGAGAAGAGGCAAGAGTTCCCCCACAACCAGCATGGACCATTGAAGGCCCACAACAAAACCCACGCCTCCACTGTTCTTGCAGCGCAAGCAGGCCATAAGGACCATCACCACAATCCGCATCCAATGCCAGATCAACAAAGGAAGTAGCCTGTTGGACAAGTAATGTGATACCATCAAGAAGCTCCTGAAGTGGTTTTCTTTGACCATAAGAAAGGATGCCTTCTTCGTTGAATGAATTATGGGAAAAGGAAGGACCAACTTCCATGTTCGGTGAACTGGAAGGTTTTACGACTTTTGAAGCTCCTACAGAGCGCCAAACACCAACAGGTGCATTGAGGTGCCCATCAAGCATTCCTCCATCAATATCACCTGCAATCCTAACTGGTATATTTTCTTTCTTTTTCACCTCATACTTGACAGATATGTTATCTGTAGTGGTACTCGGGTCATTATGAAGCTGATTAGAAAATGTAACCCCAGTGGATCTGCTCAAACCAACAGGAATGAGGTTGTTACCAGAAGACAAGAGTGTGTGTCTTAACCTGCACATGGAAGCTTGTGACATAGCACAGGTAACATCAGTTGCCAATAATGTTTTTGCAGATAGAGTGAAATGTTCTGCATCCTTTGTGCCTCCAGTGTCCTTTGTGCTTTCGGTAATCTTCCTTAAAACAGACTTGACAGGGGCATTAGAACCAATGTTCGAGAACGGAGGTTGTATTATCCCCTCAGATTTAGCAATGTTGTTAACAACACCTGCAACTGCTTTTTTGTCATTTATGTCTTTCCTACTCTCCACAAAAGTATAGTAATTTTTTGAGTGGAGAGTCATACTTGTATCATTTTTTCCGGAACATGTTTTTGTATTGATAACCAGTCCATTCTTCCCCTCGGATCCTTCAATATAGGAAGAAGAGGGTGGCTCTGCGCCATACAAGTAATTGTTTGAACAAGAATTTGAACTCTCTGCTTTTCGAGACTTTGGAAAGTAAGGGCTTCTGAACAATGTGGTGGATAACCCACTAGTATGGGCCTCAACAGCTCCAAATTCAGGAGCGAATGTCATCATTGCTTCAGCTTTTATTATATGATCAAATTCCCCAGTATACAACATTTGAGTTTGATTAGTTGCACCCATTGACATGGAGTTATTCAAGTTATCTTGATCTTTGTTAGGACACTCCTCCATGACTGGTGGAGGAGTTGGATTAAAGCTCTCAAAGGAAGAAAACCCAACAGGCAAATGCATTTGATCTGAAACATCCATCATATCGTTACCAACTGGACTACTGTTGACATCTCCACAATCCGGAGCAGACAATATAAGGGCCTGAGATTCAGCAGTTCCTGGGGGCTTTGCCAGAAAATTGATTGTACAATTAGAAACCAGTATATTAGAGACCAAGAAGCAGAGAGAAAGAATCATAATATTAGATTGTGAAAAAAAGCTTATAATCTTGCAGCATTCATGATTTAAGGAACAAGATTCAGAGTAAAGTTTGAAAATAGTACAATTCTAATAAAGTTAAATCAATAATAGAATATCATGGAGAAGTAAAGTTAAATATGGTTCATGTTTGCTTAAATCAGAAAGAAAGACAAGGCATAAGAAATTAAGACCATACCTTCCATTCCCCCCACACAAAAATGCCATAAAAGAGAGAACAAACTAAACACAACCTATTTGGTGCAATAAAGAGCTTCAAGCCCTCTTTGTATAACAAACAACCAAAAAAGTGAAAAGAAAAATGTCTGTATAATGTTTTTTTGTGCATAGGAAAAGCAAAACCTTAATTGATCAATTTCATAAACACCCTAAAATAGATAAATGTCTACATATACTTAACTATTTCATTATGAAAAGAAACTGAACAAGGTTAAAAAAAGCTAACTTTTAAACCTTTCTTCACTCAAGAAAAAATGCAAGCTAACAGATGTTAAAATGTAACTATAAGTTTATAAATATTTCCTAAGAGTCCCACATAGATTAAAACTAAGGTTTGACTAGAGTTTAGAAAGAATGACACCCCTAACCTCACCTTACAAGCCAATTTTGTAAGGTTGAGTTAGGTCAAAACCCGAATTCTGAGATGGTATCAGAGCCTAACCAATATCCGTTGGGTCACTTGCATAAGGTTTCCGCTATCAGGTCACTCTCCATCTATATCCACCAACAAGTCTAATAGTGTTGGGCGTGATAGGGTATGTTAAGAGTCCCAGATAGATTAAATATAAGGTTTGACTAGAGTTTATTAAGAGTGACGCCCCTCACCTTACAAGCCAGATTTGTAAGGTTGAGTTAGGTCAAACGCAAATTCTAAGAATATTTAAACCATGGACAATTTAAGAGTTCAAATGTGTTTCACAACAGTTCAAACACTTAAGCATAACTTAATAGCTCTTAGTATCATGGAGAGAAAAATGTAGAAATTCAAAGAAGGAATCCTGTAAATATAGTACTAAAAATATTCAGATACCTCTCCAAAAGGTAAATCGTCATTTTCAAAGAAGTCGCCAAAATCACCAAACTCGGATAGAAGAGCTTGAATATCCATTTCCATGCCTCTATTCTCCTCATCATTGTCACCCCAGTCCCAGTAAGACCCAATTGGCTCATTCTCTGCTCTTGTAATGGCTGAATTGTTAACTTCCATGGAACCAAAATCAGACATGTACGCATCTTGCCCAGGAATATTTGTAGTCGCACTTAATGACTGTGTACCTGGTCGAGACCGCTTAGAGCCCTGCATAGCAATAACAATCACTACTAATCTCCAATTGTACAAAATTTAAGATTGGCAAAATAGTAAAGTTTTAAAAGATTTGCTATTCTAAAAAAAAACTATGATATGTCAGATAACCATCTTTTCCAGAAGAAGAGAAACTACAATATTCAATTTTCTCAATTTATTTTATAAACACAGTGAAATAGCCATCTTCATGTGCATACAACAAAAATAAGTGGCCAACTTATGAAGTAGCAAGCATGTTGCAACTATGTTATAACAATACTGCAAAACGATAAGTACATGTATACCTGTTCAAGAACTTATGGAGACTGTGTACTCATACATTGAACCTGAGGTTACTATTCCTACTCTCACCCGTAACAGATGCATTCAAACATTAAACACAAGAAAAATGTTACACCGTTATTATGCTTCCTTTCAATCCAAGGAAAAACCATCACTGAAAACAGCCTCAAGAATAGGGAAAATTTTGGTGACTAGCTTTAGTAGTTTTGGAATTATTAATTTAGTAGATAGGAAAAAAAAATTATGGCAATGTGCAGTGTAAGCTGTTATTGTGTCAATTCAGTCTAAGGGTAACATTAGTATGTTTGCTCATGAAAGGCATAAGTTTAGAAAATTGGATTCTATTCTATTTGGTGTAAAAAGCAGATGGTCCTCTTAAGGGGTCCCTAGCAGATATGCAGAGTGATTTGGTGGCATTGTTCAATGGTGTTTGTTTTTCTCTTCTTTTCTTGCTTTTTTATTCCTTTTCTTCTTTTTAGATAATTTATTTTACCCGTCTTGATAAATTTTCTTGTTATAGAAATAAAAATAAAAAATAAAAAAATACTTTTTCAAAAATAGATAACGACATACCAATTTGGGGCCATCACTTCCCAATCGATCAACAGAAGATATCATAGACTGTCTACACGCTAAAGAATCAGCATCTGCCTCTAGTTCACTTGGTCCTGTAGTCTTGTAATCACTATCACTGGAGCTGGCACTTAAGCTACTGATACTGCTACTGTTGCTATTGCTACTACTATCATAACCATTTTGAGTTCGGGATCCATTGTATTCCGTCCAAGGATCTTCAGTAGATTCCACATTACCCGCACTGCAGAAGGTAGAAGAAAATTTAAGATATCAAGATATGAAAATTTAGGCTTTAACCAAAACTGGATCAAATTGTGCATATTTATGTGCTCTAAAAATTACCTGAAAAATTAATAGGGATTATATTTGCTTAAGGAATATATGGGAGAGAAATGTTTATCAACAAACCCATTACTACATACATACATGTCAAGTAAATGATATTTTTGATAAAATAGAAAAAAGAAAAGAACTAAGGAGAGAATAAGCATGCACAAACACAAAAAATTCTAGATAAAGAAGCGTGAGGAAAAAATGCAACAAGGTTTTTTGCTTTCTCTGTATGCCAGATATAGCATCTCCCATAAAACAGCCATGGGCAGAAACATAAAGGGCTCACAATTAACCTCATTAATCAAAGATATAAGAATGCAAGGAAAAAATACAGAGATAGAGAGCAACAAACCAGTGAATAAAGGACGAGGAACCAGTCAGGGATGGACCCATCCAATTCTGAAGCCAAAATCTGTATTTTCACAATAAATAGAGTAGAAGTCAGAGGTTTTTCAGGAATTGAGGTAAGTAATAATGGTCAAGTGGCCACTATTTAAATGGAAACCAATCGCTATTAACTACTCTTATGCGATCCATGCTTCAATTTGATTCACTTTGATTGGAGCTTATGCTAGAATTTTTAAGGAGATTTACTTGGCTAAGGAGCTGATTCAAATAAGACTAGGACTGGATTCTATTTGGAGTAACATGGACTTTTCAAGGAGGTTTCCCAAGTAGATATGCAAAAGGCTTGAGCAACTTCCCTCCAGTGATTTTTTCTCTTTTTCTTTGTTGCTTTGTTTTTCCATTTTCTTTATGTACAACCCCTTATTCTAATTCCCATGTTATTTTTTGTCTTAAGACTATTAAAAAAACATTATATTGTCATCAAAAAGAATTAAACAAGAAAACAAGCTTGACCAGATTGTCTTAAAAGCCGCAAAAGCTCTTAATTAAAGAAAGGTGGAAATAATGTAAGACGTGGAAAAAAATACCTTCTCAAAGAAGACCTAGCTAACGACGTTTGAAAAACAGGTACAAGCACTGCCTCAGCTGGATAGAGAAATGTTTTCTCATTATCTGACAAATGATCTGGTGATCCTTTGTGATCACTTTGTCCCGTGACAGGAGATTTGGGTAAATTCCTAACAATATTTTTGTTTGACTGCAATGCCTTGTCAGTTTCAGATCTAGGGAACCCAAGGCTCACTTCAACAAAACAATTCTGCCCCCTTAGCTGGCAACCAACACCCTGGGAAGCATGATATGGAAGACCTATAATTCCATTTGACACCCTTAATTTGGAAGAGCTGCTGCAAAATTTTATAAAAAATGGAATTCAGTCAGTTGTGATGTCTTCATGCGCCAATCGTACACCAAGGGTTAAAAAAAAGGACCTGAAATAACTTTGCTTGACAAGATCGCTTGATGAACAGCCAGTCAAGCTGCCACGTATTCCATGAGGAGATACAACCACTGCCACATAATAATATAAAATAATTTCAAATACAGTACCAAGAAAAGCCATCCGGAGAACTAAAATGAACTTTGTAACCCTTTGGATACTAGCAGTGTTGTCGATGACAGATGGCTGACCATGGCGGAGAGCCAAAATCCCACCACCGTTATAGCAGTTTATGGCAGAAAAACCAGCAATACGCCGACCAATATTAACCGAAGTGGGGAGCCCAAAAACCGCCATGTATATCCGCCATAGCATTACAGTGGCGGATATTTGATAAAACTGGTTACTGGCAAGTATGAATACAAATGCATTAACATAATAACATCTGAATCGTGATATGACGCCTAAAGAAGAGAAGGTCATTGACAGATATATTGACAACTCCACATAAAGGTGGTAGAGACAGAAAATATTAACTCCTCTTTTGCAATAGAAAAGAAATTTATTACATTTGGAATAAAATAACAAAGATAAACAAGTGGGGGATGCAGCTCCCATTGAACTGTCCAAACATCAATAATAAATCTCAAACAAACAAAACTCAGGACAACAAAGCTCTCCAAATCCATCCCTCTGAATTTTTGAAATAAACCAACAATACTTTGAACACAAAAGAAAAAGCATTAAAAAGCAAAATGCTATTCAAAGGAAAGGAATCCCTATAAGTCATTCCTTGAAAATCCAACCATTGTTCATATCATTGCACACCAAACAAAATCCAGTATAGCCCAAATATTTTATGTCACCAACAACAGATAAATAGTATATCAAAGAATAGTAGTGCTAAGAGAGCAAACAAAACTTAATGCACAAAAGATCACGCAAACCTGGAAGTCTATATGTTGTCTCCGAAGAATGTTTCAATAGTTTTTCTAGATCACCAGTGGAAAGCATTCGGATATTCCTGATAAAAAGGAGGGAAAACAACAGGTAAATATTTCAATGCAAGCTAAAACTATAGGCCATCTAAAAAATCTAGAACCACCATACTTTGAGGACACTATGACATGTATAAAGATTGCCTCCTCTGTTGCAGCAAAGACAAACTCAAATGCAGGGTGTCCTCTCCTGTAAATATCAAAAACATGCAAAAGCAGGGTCACTGTCAAAAAGAAGTAGAGGCAAAACAACACAGAATGCCGACAATGGTTCAGTCAATCAGCTTTGGTGGGATTCAGACTTTTCGCAATTTTGTTTGAGGTCAATGCAAACAGCCTAAATCTATAAGGAAATTACTGTCTGCTGGGAAAGAAGTCTGTTATGGTACAGTTTACAGTTGTAATAGTTTTCCCAACATAAAATATATTCAGCTACTTATTTAGGTATAGATAGTTACGGTAACTCGCACAATACAGCTGAATCATGCTACTACCAAGTAGCAACTCGTACCCACAGTAATAAGAGAAATAAGTATTCTCGTTCCTTTTTTTAAATTGTTGAAACTATTATTACTTTGAAGATCTTTTCATATCTCTTGCTATGTAAATATTCTTTTCCGATTTTCCATTGCATAAATAATACCATCTTCCCTAATTTTATTGTATACCTTTTTATTAATTCAATATGATTATAATGTAGTAAAATAAGAAAAGATTCTAGACTGTAATTAAATAAGCAATCCCTATAATCAAGGAAATTAAAATCAAGATCCCACCTAAGACTGGGAGGTGGAGTTAAGATCGTACATCATTGGATCATAAGTGTGATGTGATCCAAAGAAATTCATAATTAATATATTTGTGCACATTTATTCATATACAAACACTAAATTTAACTTAAACTATGAATAATAACTACTGAAAAGTACATTACACAAAATTTATTATAGGTCAAAAGTTAACAGCTAAAGCTATAGCTATAAAAGACTCGGCCATTGGTAAATTATATTGGGCCTTTTCTAAACAGACCCAACCCAAGCTAAGGCAACAGACTCAACTAAAATCAGTTTATAAGAAAAATCAAAATGAAGGAAAATTAAAGAACAGATGTGCATGCCCCTAACCTAACCCCCAAAGCAGAAAGAGAGGAGGAAGAGAGGGGGGGTGGGGGGGAAGTGAAAACTGAGTGTGCCCAGGCATAATTGAAGCCGACAGTGAACCCGCATCAACGAACTTGATCGCACGACAAAACAAGGTTGTGGAGGGTATCTTAGTCGGAAACTTTAGATTGCAAGAGAAAAAAAGAATGTCCTATTTACCATAGTTTATGAAAAAATAGCGTTCAGCAGTTTTGAGAAATAGGTTGCATGCTTATAAAACCAGAATCATTTGTTTTACACAAACAGCCAGGCCTGACCTGGTAACTAAGCAGGCTCAAGATTGCAGATTTTCACTGATTTCACGATCTTGAGCCACGCGTCCCGCAACCCTACCAATCTTGGCAAGAAGTGAGTTTGCACAGGAACAAGATTGCGAAGGTCTGAAAAATCGTATGATCTCAAAATAGCTACCATCCTGCTATTTCACTATATCATTTTTAGGGTCGGATTTTAAATTTATAATAACACTGCCAGAATCAAATTGGAGCAACAATTTGAAAAACTTCATCTACCGAGTCATCCAATTTTTGTTCTACCTATGACTCTATCTATTGATTTAGGGGAACCATAGCCCGTTTTGAAATTATGGGATTTGGGACATACTTCTCGCCAAAGATCATTTTTATGTGGTTACACGTGACCTGTTAATGACTATTAATTATAGTTTTTTACATTTTTAACTGACACCCGTCATGTGTTGGTCTATCACACCACAAGTTAATATATTATATACTGTTGATAGCAATCAGATTTTGTTATAATTAGCATTCATAGTTATCTTATATTGGAATAATTGATTTGATCCCAAAACTATAGGACCGTGTTTCCTTTTCAGATTATATTTCACTTGTACATGTGTGTGCGTTTGTGCGTGTTTACATAACCCTATCAACATTAGTGAAATGCTAAGCCTAAATATATTGGTGAAAACATACCTTAGCAGTTCTTCCCTTTGAAATTGATGGACCTTTGAAAATACATCTCCAAATCTCATGTAATAAAGCCCAAGCAGCGCTCTGCCAAATTTAATAAGATCAAATGGCAAGATATGACCAAAATTAACATCACTTTGAAGAATTGGAGGGGAGAAAAACCTTTCTATGCAATTCCTTAAAGCCTGAGAGAGAGCAGCTGCAACCTCTTCTGAATCCCCAGGAGCGACCCAGAGCCCAGACGCAACAACTTCATCAGAAAAAAAGTTTCCCATGTAAGAGTATTTTCAGAAAAAACGAAAGTATAAAATCTCCAAGCCACTATCTTGGAAGAAAGAAATGTGCATTGTAATTTGTAATATCCCGATTTCTATAAATGGAATTATTATATTATTAGATAGTTGTTGCATGTTGTTTTCAACTTTACTATTTAACAGGCTGTTGCATGTATGCCCAAGACAACAGTTCCGTTAAGTGTAATACCTCTTAATCCGGATAATGCTGGTTGAGCAGTTTCAGAAACTGATGAATGACGCCCTGGAAGAAAAAGCCACAGCTTAATCTTTTCATCTGCATGTGAAGTACAGAAAACAGAAATTTAGGTAACTAGAAAACAGAAAACCATTTCTATTCTTTCCTACTAGTTAAAAGAAAATAAAAATTGCAAATAATCACAAATGACAAAAGCACTAAGTCAGCAATCTCTACCAGGATTATGCAAACCCTGAGATGGATCCCAGGGTCCAACAAAGGAATTGGTCCATGAACTGAGAAACCCTTCCTTCTGTAGTTGCAGATGTGATGAAAGCACCAGTAACATTGCAGCATCCTTCTGGTCCGCTTTTACACTGTTTGAACAGAAGGTTGCCCAGTAATATTAAAATAGTGACCAAGAATGAAAGAGAAAAATATAAAATAAATTCCAACCTTTTGTCGGGAAGAGGGCTCAGATCAGGTTCGTGAGGGAGAAACTGAAACCATGATATCTGATGCAGACTACCCTGTACAAATTTCAAAAATTATATACATAGTTATATACATATAAAATACAACCAAGCAAATTCTAAACAAAAATAGAGCAGCTGGAGATATACATTAATTTATGGTAAAAGCTACCTAAAAATGCAGCATTGAGGTTTAACCTTTTCGCACCCATTTCTAATAATGAGTTGCTCTTGAAGAAGGGAGATTCGACCATGAATCTCTTGTTAGACTAACAGGCCGTTTTTCTTTTATTTGATATATCCTAGCGTGGTCAACTGCGGAATGTGGAAAATAGTTGTTTGTTCAAACTCCGTTAAGTTATAGCCGCTATTTGACAACGCTTTTTAAAAAATCATGTATCGTCGCGGAACGATATTAGTTAGTTAAATTTCCGTTGCGCTACAGCACCGGTATTTGACAGCACTGTTATCTCCAACAATAGCAACAAAGTTTAAGTATTTATGTTTTCTATTTGTGGAAAAGATAAGCCAAGACTGAGGTTGATACCAATCCACGCAATTAGTTGACATGATCGAACAAGTAAACAATTCTAATGTAGGCATTCAAAATAGACACTATTTTATTCTTCTACTAATCTATTTCCTATTTATTTTTAACATAAACAAAAAAAAATATGATAGGACACATGTCGCCTACTATTTCCTATTTATTTTTAATAAAAACAAAAAAAAATGACAGGACACGTGTCGCCTACTAGCAATTTGGTCTCCCGTCCAACATCTTCCTTTTTATACCCATGTTATTACACGGGTTTTCTTTGCTACTAGTACGGATCAAAACGAAAAAAGAAACATTTTATACATAACCGAGTTCTAGATCAGGTATTCAAAGACCAACTAGAGTTAATAAGTAACTTTCGGAATAAGCGATGTAGTTTCGCTAAACATAATCTAATAGGACCGATACCAAACATAATTATAAACATTGTCATATATTGAAACTATTCTTCCACTTAGGAAGGGAACTGAAAGTCACAAATGTACTACTATCATCAGTGTTTCAGCCCATACCAACCAAACATCCAACGACGTCATTACTTATCGAAGAAGTCTCCGGTAACCCTAGCAACACTTGTTTGAAAAAAATCAATATTTCAGCACACGATCAAATAGGAAAAAACAAGGAACATAATCAAAAAGAAGCCAGTTGTGTTGAAGCCTGTAGGTTTTTCCATCTACAAGAAAAATATAAACACTCACAAACTAAATCTATTAAAAGATGATAAAAGCATCGTATCCAATCCAATAAACATGAGATAATTTATAATGCTTTTAGTTATTAAACATGTTTCACCAACTTAATCATGAGATTATTACAACACAAAAAAAATAAGGCGTGCTATGTGATATACTAAATAGGGTAAAACGAAATTGAACCTTGAACTAATGATATTCCAGCTACAACACACAAAGCTATCACAAATTAATAACAATAAGAGTATCGAGATGTAGAAAAAAACCTACAATTTTGAAAACGTTCGTCCACATAGCTGAAGAAGCACCCCTCCCGGTGAATTGAATAGGGTTTTGCGATAAAGAATATGATTAAGACCTCGATCTGGTTATTAGGTTTTGGTGAGACTTATGAAGCGTTTACGTGCTTCTGCTCTTGAAAAGGGAAATCAAATATGCAAAATTTGGAATCTGATTCAGAATGCGAAACTTCCTCTGATCCTACTTCGTTTGCCGCTAACACCGAAAACCAATCACCGTCACAGAAATGAAGATGATTGCATTCAGCATTTCCGCAAAGATCACTCGAGTAGGGTTTTTTTGTTCCAACGGAGTTGAATTTAACACCGATTAACACAATTCCAAATTTTGCGGGGGGTATGCATGACGAGAAGTTTAGCGTTTTCAATATTTATATATAGTATCAAATAACACTCAATGTAGTATTTGGATTTGGACTATGTAAGAATTTTGAATAACTTTTTATCATGAGTCCAAAAAAAATAATTACTTTTTGTTATCCATGTGTGTTTGACAAAATTTATAGTTCAATGGAATGTAACAAAGAAAAAAAATCTAAAATAGTTGATTATAATTAAATAGTGAGATAGAAGACAAAAATATGTGTTAAGTAATGAGATGGAGGAGAAAAACAAGATTGAATTTATTATGCATTTGAGTTATTGTTTGATTTTATATGACATTGTGAAAACGATGAACAAAAATGTATGATTTTTAAAAGAAATTAAAATGTTACTAAATAATATATATGATTATCAAAAATATTAATTATTTTAGATGCATTATTAAGAAAAATTCACTTAGTTAATAGTAGTGTCAATATCATATATTTGGTGGTAGATTGACAATTTAAATTAATTAAAATAAAATATTAAATTATTTGTAATTTGTAGCTTTTTTTCAAAAAGAAAGTGAAAAAAACTAATTTAAATGGTGCAATAAATGATGTTCGAGTTGATATCTTTAAAATTTGAATGATTATTTGTGTCGCTTTTAATATAAAAGAAAATGGACGTAGAGCATTCTCTTATTATGATCTATTAACTAATGAATGATTATATATGATTGAAATAATCATTAAATTTAATGTATAAAATAAAGTTGCATTCATATCACATGTCGTTAACAAAATAGAATAAAGGTATGTATTAAGTATTCGGTAACAATAAAGTTATGATTTTTTTTACCCTTACCACATGTAATAAATATTTAGTAAAAATGAGAATAACCAATAATAAAAATTCAAATGTTTCATGTATTCAAATAGCCAAAAATTAGAGATGAAATATCAAAATTATATTTTTTATAAAAGACATAATTTACCCTATTTTGTAACTTTTATAAAAAAATTGAAATTATATGTTTTGTTCTGGCGATGATTAACGTGAAGTGGTAAAAAAATTAAACTTAATTTTCAATAATTTTGTGTTTTTCAAATGAAAAATTGATAGAAAATTAATAGTATTATTGTCATCAAAGTTGACCAAACCGCTTCATGCAAAGTTTCCGTTTACAAATTTAAACATGCAATATTCGCTTTGTTTTTTCTAAAATTGTAACCCTACCATAATAATAAAAAATTGAAGTACAAGACTTGTTTATAACTTACGTGCGACATTTTTCATCACTTTATTAAAAATTGAGAATACAATAGTCATTCCGCACATATCTCATATTTTTAATTGTATGTGCATTCACTTAACTCAATTGTTGTAATTTATATTATACACTACAATAATACACTATGCATATTTTTAAATTGTATGTGCATTCACTTAACTCAATTGTTGTAATTTATATTATACACTACAATAATACACTATGCATATTTTTAAGTTAAACATGTAATTTCGAGTCATTAATTAATTTCAATTAAATAATATGATAGAAGACAAAGATATGTGGTAAGTAAAAAGATGATGAGAAAAATATGCTTTAATATATTGTATGTTGTGTTATTGTTTGATTTTATATGACATCATGAAAACGATAAACAAAAATTTATGCTTTCTAAAAGAGATTAAAATATGGATAAATAATGAGAGTTTCTTATTGCACCCTATATACTTCTAACACGTCATGTGAATTTCCATATATGCCTCTTGATTCCGGATATACATCTCCGGACTTCCCAAAGTTCATTAAACATTGGAATTTTTCGAAGATATAATTCCTGACGCACCCAAAGTTCATTAAACTTTGGAATATTTCTGAGATATATCTCCAGAAGATTTCAGAACTTAAAACGCACCGGACTATTCTCCTCCCTCGCACTTCTCAAACTTTTCTCTCTTCTCTAACTTTTCTTTCAACATAAAAATTACAACTTCTTCACAACATCAAATTTCATCAAACAAGACTTAGAGGAATATCAAACATCATCAATAACAACATTCAACATCATCAAAACCATAAATCTTAGGTAAACTTTTGAGTTTTTAGATAAATTTTGAGTTTTTGTGTAAATGTGTATAAATCAATGATAGGGATAGAAATGTGTAGGAATTGCATGTAACATAGTTTAGACTTAGTATATGACTTGTTTGTTGTCTCAACATGATGATTAGACCATGTTTTTTCGATATGCATAAGCCACATTACACCATTGTTGTAACTTTAGAGTTGCAGAGCTTTCCGGAGATACATCTTCAAAATAGTTCAGTGTTTCATATACTTTAGGAATTTTCAGAGATACATCTCTGGAATGTTTCAATGTAATTGTTATATGGAGTTTCTGAAGATGTATCTCCGGAATAGTCTGCAGTCTGTTTTTTTTCTTGTTAGTTTGTGTTGTTTATCTGCACTAATAATACGTCGTAATTCATCTTACAGGTATTATGGATGCCAAAGTCGACAGACTAAGACATGATTGGGTTGCCCAACACGCATCCGTCTGACGGGAGCGGAGCCAACAAATTCCGGAGGCAACAAATATTTTTGGTCAGGTAGAGGCGTCGACTTCTAAGGCGCAGTCTACTCCTAAGGCTCGTCCTTCACCTCAGGTCACTTCATCTCAAGCACTCCACCTTCATCTCAGACCACTCCATCTTCTTTTTCTTCCCGTAGGAGACGTGATTCACCAGCTGACATGTCACTTCCCACATCCTCCTGCGGGCGTCAAGATTCATCAGTGCCACCTCCTACTGATCCAGTGACACCTTCTGCTGATTATCTTGTTGATCCAATGCCACCTCAAGAGGGTGAGGTTATCAAGGATGCCAAGCTAGAGGGATTTATATGAGGTTCATATGATATTTTCCTACTTCCTCTGTATCTAGACCACACTGCCATACATATTTGGGACGGAAAGATGGCATTATTTGGATTTTTGATTTATTTTGTATGTTCATTTAAAAGTTTGACATTGATTCCTACTTACATTGATTATTTCTGGATAATTTCAGATGTGTGATCCTCAAAAGTTTATTAACCACGGTCATGCACGCTTGAATAAACGTTAGTATACCCAAGTATTTTTTAAATACTTTGTTATCATCAAAATAAAAGAGATATAGGATAAAACCAATTTTGTTCAAACAATATCCCCTTTTTGATGATGACAAACATAACTTTTTAAGAACAATTGTTGATAATTTAATTAACTAGTTGGCTACATGTAGGGCTGAAAATGAGTCGAGTCGAGTCGAACTCACCTCAGCTCGAATCGACTCGTTAAAAATTGGTTCGAGTTTGACACGAACTTTTTTTTAAGCTCAAACTCGACTCGTTATAAGTTCACGAACAGTTCGGTTCAACTCGTTAGTTTCATCTCATTAGGTTCAGCTCACATGATTCACGGACTTAAAAACTATTTTTTTAAATATATATATTTTTTAGTATATTTGACATTTTAAATAAATATATTTTTTAAAAATAAAATAAAAATTATCATATTGAAATTTAACTTTATCTTCGAAATCTACTAATTCAAAACCTACACAACTTTCAAGAGATACATCTGAGAGTCTAATTCAAAAACTACTAAATTGAAGATTAAATTTGTCTAAGATTTGGAGTAAATATTTAAACCTAATCTTAAAGACAGTATAATTCTTCTCATATGTAATCGAGTTGACTCATGAACCTAACGAGTCGAACTATGTATAGTTCAAGTTCAACTCATTTAGTTAACGAACTTAATTTTTTGCTCATACTCAACTCATTAGGCTCATGAATCTAGTTCAATGATTTAATTATCGAATCAAATTCCGAACTATTTTCGAGTTGGTTTGGTTCATTGTCAGCCCTAGCTGCATGGTCTGAGGTTTGTAAGCTCCCCTGAGTCTAATAAGATATAAGGTTAGGTTTGTAAGCCCCCTAAGTCATTTTTAGGTTAATTAAATTTAAACATTTATATCACATATATAATTCTTCAAATTTTAAGCAAGATAATAACTGACATGTTTCATGTGCTTAAATACTTTTATATTTACTCCCCCTTTTGTCATCGACAAAAAATAATGAAAGGAAATAGAAAAGATTCTGAAGAACAATATTTTCATATAACCAAAAGGAGTGGATGTCAACAAAAAAAAACAGAAGGGTAGTGTTATAAGTCCTAAAGCTTAAGGTTTTTGTCTTAAAAGCTCTAGGATAGCCTTCAAATCATAACCTATTTCATCTTACTTGCAGTAACAACCTACAACTTAACATTAATTTCTTCTTGTTTGGAAGCAACCAAAGACAACTTCTTCTCAAAGTGATATTGCCTTTGACTAGAATAAACTACACATTTAGATGAGAAAGACTTTAGATTCTCTATCCATAGTAGCTCTAAGAGAGTCCCACTTAGTTGCATATGTTATGAGATCATAAGTTATTAGCCTCTCAGCAACCAGAGTCTGAACTCTATTAAAATTAACAGTTCTAAACTCTTACATTTTGTAGTTAACATGAGGTGGAAGGTTTAGGTTTAGAATGATATAAGTGTGGGGTATATAAGGGCTAGGTTGAGGTATTGTGTTAGATTTTGACACAATATATTCTTCCCTAAAATGTGAGTCATGGTATTCAAA